ATCTTTCTAAACAATTATGAGAATCATCTCCCCACGTAAGTGGGCTGAGGCCATAAGGGGCCTCGGCAGAACATGGGTGACTTTACTGGCTGTAAAGAATGGAGTAAATTGTCCTCATTTGCCTAAAAGAGTGTGCTACCTGTTCTGATTATGAAGAACATGTTTCCTAGAGGTAATTATGCCATTTCACTGACACAATTTCTGGAACAGCTTGTTGCATATGAGGAAATAAGAGGAATTTGAAATGAAGCTTGTTTGGGCTTTCAAAGGATTCAGAGGTAGAGATATGAATTACTGAGCTAAAGTCTTAACTTCCCCCTAAACCTACTTCCAGGAAAGAACCTTAAACTCAACAGATTAAGTTCTGCCAAGATTTTCTATTCCTAAAGTTTTGGTGACAGTGATGGGATTCCAGCAAAAAAGCAAGAATTAAGCCAAACAATCTTTAAGATCCCCCCCCCCCCCAAATTCTGAGATTTTTGTAATTCCATATTGTGGAGGAAAAGAATCTTGGAACTCTTTACTCAGAGCTTAAATGCTATCTATTGTTTCAACTCAGTGATATATTTACTTCTTCTAATGTTCTTCATAGCAATACTATTTGTTTAATTCAGTCTTGCTCAAAATTTCAAGAAAAGAATTGGATTTGAACAAGAGAAAGTTTTAATAGCTTGCCCTCCTTATCAACAAGGGAAAGTTCTTTTCTGGGTTGGTGGCCAGAAAAGAGATGAGTAGCTTGGTAGGATGCAACAGAAAGAGATGGTGAAGGTCATTAAGAAAACAAAAAATGATGCTTCTCTTCTTCAATGTGTGATGTTTCTAGCTGGATGCTGGAAGAGAGCTTCTAAATGTCATTTCCATTCCTATGGCTCTACACATGTCAAGTTTTAAACTCAGTGCTCAGACTAGAAGGAAAGATAATAACTTTACTTAGTTTAATAGATCAGGAAATTATATTAGCACTAGAATAACCAACATGGGTAAAATAGGATTTGAGAAGGGATGCTACAAGTGAATTTAGAGCAGCCAGGTAGAGTGGTTGTAGAGGTCTTCCAACTCAGTAGTTGAAAGCAGCGTTGGGATTGTCAGGAAACTGAGATCTGAATCTGCCACTGACTGGCTAGAAATCCTGGGCAAAGCATTTCCCATGGCTGGGACTTGGGTTCCTCATCCAAAAATAAGGTTGTGGTTTTTTTTTTTTTTTTAAGTTACCTAATATTTTTGTAGAATTTCCTATCTCCCAGAGCTGAAGTAAGTGTTTTATAAGGATCTCATTTGATTATCAAGTCCCAGGCCTTAGAAACTCTCAAGGAATGTTGGGAGAGTCAATGCTTGAAGCAGTTTCTACCATAGCCTTTGGCTTTTCCTCTCTCCACTGGATCCACAAAGCAGCTCTTCCACTACTGTTTCTCCCTGCAGGTCAAGGGACTCAGAAAGAAACCTCCATACAAAGATGGAAATTGTTGGGCCTGGAGAAAAGGCATTTGAGACAGGACTTGGTAATCCTTCTCGAGCTTGTGGAGATCTGTTTATGGGGCTGGTGGAGATAAGGTGATTGTAAAACTTGAAAAGACCAAGAGAATATATGGCCTGGCCTGAAACTGGAAGGAACTACACTAAATGATGAATGGAATGGAATGGCCCCGGGGTCTAGAGCCCAGAATTAACTAGAAGTGGGGGTCATGTTACCTCTTAACCCAAAGCTTCATGGGCAGGGCTACTTTTAAGGGCTCAACTGTCCAGAATGGTTTGGATCAAGTGTTCAATGAGACATAGGAGTACTTTAAATGAGCTCTAAAAGTCCCCTCCAGCCAGCCCTATGAGATAATAAGGAAATTTTTTTTAGCTTCATATTCACATTAAGAAAAAAGATCTTGGTAGAAATTTTACTTGGGGAGGTACAAAATGTTAAATTAATTTATGAGCTCTGGTGTACAAAATGTTGCTGAATCTTTTGATCTGTTTTCTACACTGGTAGTCAGGGCAGGGACCTCACTGGCCTGGGAGTCAGGAAACCCATTTAATCCTGGCTCTACCTGCAGCCTCTTCATTTAAAATAATGTTGATAATCTCTGCTCTGCCCATTGCACAAGAATGTCATGAAAATAAAATAAGCGAATGTATATTGGAAATATGTTGGAAACAGTCAAAGGCTTTTCAGGTATCAGGTATTATACATTAGAAAAAGAGTTCAGGGCAGCCCCAGTGCCTCAGCGGTTTAGCTCCGCCTTCGGCCTGGGGTGTGATCCTGGAGACCTGGGATTGAGTCCATGTCGGGCTCCTTGCATGGAGCCTGCTTCTCCCTCTGCCTGTGTCTCTGACTCTCTCTCTCTCTCTCTCTCTCTCCCTCTGTGTCTCTCATGAATAAATTAAATATTTTTTAAAAAAGAGTTCATCTGTCAAAAAATAAGGATAGAGTTAGAACCAACTGGTAGTTTAGGAAAAGTTCATAATTCAAATGTTCTTTCATAATTATGTGCATGGATAGAGATGTAAGAAGGAGGAAGAAGAATCGAAGTGTTGTCATAGAGCTGAGTCACCTTTCTTTCACTTAGAAGTCAAAATTAGACTCTAAGTTTGCTATATCAAGAAAAGAAGGCATAGCAAAATTATTCCCAGACCACATGACCTGGGCTTTATGGGGAAGATTAAGTCAATTTCCATGAAGCTTGAGCCAATAAATTCATGAAGAAACCAGAGAGCATAGGGCAGCTTTCTGGTTGATTGACCTGGTTGTGCAAACAGCATGGAAGTCAAAAGAAGAAGGTGATCAATTTAAGATCATCTGGACTTTTTGAGATTGAGAATAGAGTAATATTTAACTATTTAGGAGTATTAAGGAGAGAGTAATTGGAAAAAAATATATCGTGGTTTTCTATCCTTGGAGAAGCTAAGAAATGAAAATTATCTCACGATGGGTATTAGGCTTAACAGGTTGAATAATGCCCTTCCTGCAAAGACATCCACACCTGAATCCTTGAAACCTAAGAATATCACCTTACATGGCAAAAGGGACTTTGCAGATGTGATTAAACTAAGAGTCTTGAGATGGGAGGTTGTCTTGGGTTATCTGGGTGGACCCAATGTCATCACAAGGGTCCTTATACGGGAAAGAGGTAGAGAAGAGAGTTAGAGCCAAAGAGGGAGATGTAGTGACAGAAGCAGAGGTCAGAAAGGGAGAGAGGGAGGGAGGGGGGAGGGAGGGAGGGAGAGAGAGAGAGAGAGAAAGAGAGAGAGAGAGAGAGAGAGAGAGAGAGAGAGAGAGAGAGAGAGAATGAGACAGAAAATGAGAAAGAGAGATTTGAAGATGTTCTACTACTGGTTTTGAAGTTGGAAGAAGGGACCATGAACCAAAAAAGTCAGGTGGCCTTTAGACACTAGAAAAGGCAAGAATATGGATTCTCCCCTCCATCTCCAGAAGGAATACAGCTTTGCCTGACCGATTGTAGATTTCTGACCTCCAGAATTATCAGACAATACATTTATTTTGGTTTAATCCATTAAGTTTGTGGTGATTTTTTCTAGTAGCAATAGGGAAGTGAAAACACCAGGTAATTTCAGGCTGTGCACTTGTCTGCTAAATTTGACCTCTATAAGTTGAAGACAGGCAAAAAAAAAAAAAAAAAAAGGAGAGAAAAAAAAAACCCAAACCAAAAAGAAAAGAAAAATGGTAAAACATGATTAAAAACAGGATGCTGAGGATCTTCTGTTACCATAAATCACTAGTTTCCTTTGATTCCATGGCTACTGCTACAGCTGTGAACTGTATTCACTGGCTTCCAGTCTGTACTCGCCCTTTGTTTCCTTGTTATGAACACACACACACACACACACACACACACCACACCACACCACACACACCATTTAAAACAGAAAAAGAAAAGTCCCATAGGAGATGTGCCTTGACTCCCGCTCTAATACCCTGCCTCTCCCCATGCATGTCTCTTTATAGGAGCCCTTCATTCCCCTATAGGCCTCCCATCTCCTCTTTCCCCCACCATCAAATGACTTCTTGATCTTCTTTGAGGCAACTGTTTCCCAGACCCTAGGCTACTTTGAGGCAGAGACTGTGAAGAAAAAAATCTTAGGAATTCCACAGCAGATAATACTTAGGAACACTGGTCAAGAACAGCCTTGGGTTTACTGCAGAACCTGTGTGGTGGGAGAATTTAGAACCACGATGCTGCTCAAACAGCTGCAATGTGGGTTCGAGCTTGTGTGTGGCTCTCTCCCTGCACAGGAGAGAAAGCTGGAGGCCTAGCAGACTGAAGCTGTTTAGTTTAATTGATGTGAACAGGCTGTGCTGCTTTTTTAAATGTGTCCTTGGTAGTAGCATTGGAAATGCTGTCATGGCATTGGAATGGCATTAGCTCCTGGAAAGCGATGAAAAGAATACGAAACACTATGCTGTGGTGTTCAGCTAGGAAGGCCCAGCTCTCAGCGTCCCACCCAGAGAGCAGCCCAGAAGGATGCCAGAACCTGTGATTGGCTGAGACAGAACTGACCCAAAGATCAGCTATGACAGATATGACCTCTAGGCCATTTCTCTACAGTGATAAGACCTCTGGTTAAGTCCGCCAAAGATAAGCCTCAAATGGCTCAAGGCACCATTAGGATAGGATATTTGATCAGAATTTTCATACAGAAGGGATTGTATCAGTAGGATATTCCAGAGTTTTGAGTTACGTAGGCACAGCATCAATTGTCCTAATGAGTTCATAGTCACTCTGGCCCTACGTCTCCTCCTTCCCCCAACACCTAACATTAATACATAAAAGTGAAGTGTAAGAATTAGAAGTAAAACATTCTGCTTTCTCTTTGAAGGTTTTCCTAAATTCCAGAGAGAAAGGGGTTCACTCCATTGTACCACTCAGCTGTTCTCTCCCCCTCATTCTCTCCCAAGAAGTATCTACCCTCTGAGGATAAAGCATTTGCAAATATGATTCCTTCAACTTGTGCTTTACTATAATCTTAAACTTGGGAAGAACAGAAATACATACATGCTCAGATGTGAAGGCAATGAGCCTGGGAACCGCAGCCATTCCTTTCTCCTTGACTTCTGGGAACATCTTAAAGCGTGCGATCAGCATGGCATACATGTTAGAAATAGCGCCACCTAAAATAACAACACACAGTTACCTTTTCTAGTCATTATCGACATAATTTCACATGCAAGCAACATCCTTTATTCCCATTGACCTAGAATCCTCCTCAGACACAGGAGAAGGCTGTCTTTATTGGTTATCCTTTGAACTGAATCCTCAAACTCAGACTGAGTCCTCAGGCTAAGAGAGTCTAAGAGAAAGGCGCATTGGGTGCGACCATAGGACACATGCTACCGCTCCACATCCCAAATCTGTCAACTAAGCAGAACTGCAATTAATTCTGCTCTTGCTGGGAGTCCTTTGAAGAAGTTCTTAAGAACTAAGAAATTGTCTTCCTTCTCACCTTGTGAGTGTGGTCATTCTTCATTAGGCCTATGGAAATCCCACTTTTATCCTGATGAAGAACACATTTCTTTTCATTTCAATGCAGGCAATGCCTTGCACTTGCACTAAGACAAATCAGTGGTAGTTACTGGTGTGGACTGTTAATCCACAATTCTTATAGAATGAGGATAAACATCCAAGCCCATTTCATCATACTCATTTATGAATTTTCCTGAGAATAGTTCTTTCCTCTCAAAGACATCATAGAAATATAATTTTAACAGCTAAACAAAATCTTCTTTCTTTCTTTTTTAAAGATTTATTTATTCATGAGAGACACAGAGAGAGAGAGACCGAGGCATAGGCAGAGGGAGAAGAGGGCTCCTTGCAGGGAGCCTGATATGGGACTCAATCCTGCGGCCCCAGGATCATGCCCCGAGTGAAAGGCAGATGCTCAACCACTGAGCCACCCAGGTGTCCCCAAAATCTTATTTCATAATGATAGGAAAACACACAACTAAGGGAATTTTAAGTCATTAAGCTACATTAGCAAGTGTAGTTATGTTAATATTAATTTATGAAAATATTATTATCAAGTATTTTGCATTGAATTGCTTTTCCTATGTCATTCTAAGATTGTCAAGGATTTAGTACCACAATATTTATATCTCATAAGTAAGGTCTCATTTGACAAGCAAAGAAAAGTGAGCTTTTCCCCAAGATTGTTGGAAAGGTTAGGATTTTTGCTATGCAAGAAGACAGATTGTTGTGCATACAAATGGATATGCTGGCATGGAAGCTGTGACATCATGTGGCAGAGTGAATGCACTATCCTTTCCCCATAGGGACACACTGGGCTCTCTCATGATGTGAGTGCTTTGAGTTCCTTTCCCTTTGGGTGGCTGAGGAGCAGAGGCCTCTTTCCACCAGGCTGAATGGCTCATGTGGGCCACAACTTTTGCCTCATGAGCAAGGATGCAGCCTGACACAGAGCAGCCCGTATCCAGGTCCTGGCTCTGTCATCAGGCAGAATAAGGGCAGTTTCTACCTCTTCTGAATCCCAGAGACATGGGGTAAGCAGAATCCAGGTCAAGCCTGCTCTGAGCAGACCCCTAGTCTAAAAGGCTGAGGGTGTAGGATGCTGCCAGGCAAGAGACTAGCTTTTAAAAGAACTTTCACTCTAGCGTGTGGTTTTTCTACCTTGGCACTTAATGGTATTTGGGGCTGGATAGCTCCTTATGGAGAGGGTTGTCCTGTGTACAGTAGGGTGTTTAGCAGCATCCCTGACTGTTATCCACCAGATGCCAGTAGTACTACATGCCCTACCCCCCACCAAGTTGCGACAATCAAGAACTTCTCCATTCATCGCCAAATGTCCCTTCAGGGGATACAACAGCGCCCACTCCCTCCCAAGGAGAAGCACTGCCCTAGTTGTTCTTGTAAGAGAGGCTGGAGAGAAACGAGGCCAGGAGAAAAAGGAGGAAATGAACACAAAGGAAGTGTGTCACATAGCACAGTTACTCAAGAAGCTTCCAGCTCTGTCCTGCCACTCCTCATTTTACCACTCAATTATTCTCTGTCTAAAGACCAAATAGCCCTGAGAGAGATGAAGAGGATTCTAGGCCACTAGACAGAGCAGACTGCTTTGTGCAACCCAGGTGGGAGGACAAATGCATCTTCCAGAGAAAGGATGCAAAAAGAAGCTCTGAAGCATCAGGAAAATCCTGTTAGATAGACAAAGGTTTGGAACTAAGCCAAGAAGTCCCTTTCTTCTCCTTTGGTCCTTCATGACTTGCTGAGCAGTGAGGAATATTCCAGTTCTTTTTGGCTCCCAGGCATAGGTGACATCACAGAAACAGATTTCTTCTAGAAGTCCCAGAGAACTTTCCATGAAGCATGAAGCCTCTGGATGGTATAGATGGAGGTGTAAGGTAAACCAAGCTGAGCTACATAGTCTAGTCACACACCCTAACTCTCTGTGTTTAGTCCCAGGGAATAAGGCTTTCAGGTCTGAAGCACATAAGATGTGTGTTTTCCCCTATCCCCACTCCTTAAATGGTAAGGCCCTATACCCCAGGAATAAGGCTGGATACTACCTAGAAAGATATCCCCTAGCAAGTGAAGATGCTATAATCTCTCCTCTATAATGCCTTATAGAAAGCAGAGCAGAAACAGGCTTTTTCTTCTGTCCCCACCCCACTTTGCAATGTCTACATTATTTAGCATGATACCTGGGGCTTCCATCTTGGCGTGAGAGCCTCTTTAGGATCCAAGGAAAGTCTTTCTACCCGATCATGTTCTGTCATTGATGAGAGTGTCCATACCTGGCTCAGCAGAGAACAGCCAAAGAGGATTCTTCCTGTGGGTGTATATTTTCTGGGCTAATTGGGTTCCAAGATCAGCTAAATTAGGCCTGGCCCAACCCCCCTTAGCCAAGTTTTCAGGGTCAACAGGAGCAGCTGTTCTCTTCCCACTCCTGGGAACCATTAAAAGAGAGCCCAGGATGCTCAATCACATAGCCAACCTTGTAAGGGGAAGAAGAATAGAGGTAGAAGTGATGTTGATCTCTGAACACCACCTAATTCCTCATGAAAAATACCTTAAGAGCATCAGTTCCGGGCAATGATGACAAAATTCCCTCAACAGGGAATGGTTTTCCAAAGTAAAACTAAGATCCCTACAAAATAAAGGCTAGCTTTAAATTCATCACAGCTGGTGTTTAATGAAAAAGAAGGCTAATTTTCCCTTCCATTTAACTAACATGTTTTCCTTCAGCACCTGAAAAATTGTGTTGTATCTTTAAAAACATAAAATATAATAGCAGATCTGAGTTTGTCAGTAAAGCTGCTTAATTTAAGGCCTATCGTCGAGGGCACTGTTGCTTGCTTATAATTTCTTCTTTCAACCTGTTTTTTTTCTCTCTCCCTCATCATTGGCTTGTCTCTATAGGTTTGCTGCAGGGACATCTCCATGTGGCCTTTGTTAGGCCTGACATAATGGCAGGTGTGGCTTTGGCCTCCCCAGCAGGGTCAGTCTCATCATACTGAGCACCCGCCCCATTCTGATGACCCTCTCCTGACACTGATTAGGTGACAGTCTGCACACAAGGTTTATTTTCTATGGGTCAGTGACTCTCTCTCCCTACTGCCTTTCTAACTTCCATTTCTTCTCTGCATCAAACCAAGGTCACACACAGATCCAGAACCAAGGGCAAGGCTTTTTGTGTCAGGTTGATTCTCTTGGCTGGAAGAGGTGTAAATAATGGAACTTAGAATCCAGTGGCTGGTGATAAAAGGCAGGATGGAAAAGACCAAATGGCATGATAAAGAAAAGAAGGAAAGAGAAACCTTTGGAAGAAATCAGCACCCTCTGTTTTGGTTTTAAGAAATGGTTTCCCGGGCAGCCCAGGTGGCTCAGCGGTTTATGCCACCTTCGGCCCAGGGTGTGGTCCTGGAGACCTGGGATCGGGTCCCACGTTGGGTTCCTTGCATGGAGCCTGCTTATCCCTCTGCCTGTGTCTGTGCCTCTCCCTATCTCTCTGTGTCTCTTGTGAATAAATAAATAAAATCTTAAAAAAAAAAAAAGAAATGGTTTCCCAAGTCACTCTCTGCCCTCCTTGAAATTAGTGTAAACCATCTTCTCTGGCTGTTACTCAAAAGAGATAGAGTACATCAGCTTTGTTTTATAGACCTGCCTCATAATGCATCCTGAAACAGAGAATGCTTTATTAAGTGAGGCTACCTTTTCACTAATTGTGGGAAGAGTTTCAGAGAATGAATTCCCTTATGAGGAATCTTTATTCCTTTGTTCCCCATGATCCATACATCTTCTGTGATTGGGTAAATATTATCGCTGTTTATCTTCTTTCTGAACACAAATGACTATTGTTCAAGCATGAGGTAGTTGGCTTGGAAGCATGGTCAATGGTCACGTATTATCACACTTATTCTTTTGATCAACATAACCTATTTAACATAAGCAGAAATACAGACTAGATATTTAATCTCTCCCAAGTTCTTAATAAAGCACTGCATATCAGGAGAAACAACACAAAGAAAGGTTGAAATATATACCAGGAGAAAATATCCCATCGCCAGAGCCTCCCGGCCAGCCAATGATTTCTCTCATTTTCTTTAGTGTGACATATTCCAAGAGCACAAATACTGGAGCAATTTCATAGGTGAACCTGAAACGTAGCAATGGCCACATTTTGTGTATGTAACTCAAAGAAATACTTCCTCAAAAAAAAAAAAAAAGAAATACTTCCTCATTACCACATCTATAACTATCGTATAGAACTTTTTTCAAGCCCTACATTCACGTTTTAATTATAGCATTAAGCAGAGAGAAAATAATGTCTTCTTAAAGGTTGCCCATTTTTCTATATTCCTGAAGTTAAGAGCTTAACGCCCAAGGGTCATTTATCATTGAATAAATAAAGAACATTGCAGAGTAATACTATTTAAAAAACATCATCTGGTCCCATTCCCTTTTCACATTATACATAATTATAAACCCAAAATGCCAAAAAAAGTTGCCTTTTGTGTTTGAAAAATGTTACATAGCTTTGATTGCATGAAGACTACATCAGGACTATTTTAAGTTAGAGTGAACACTCACATACTTCTGAAGTTTGTATCATTATGTTAGGGTCTATGTAATTCAAAAGTTAGATGAGAGGTAGAATAAAGACTGAAATCTCACTAATAACTATCCTGAATTAAACACACACACACACACACACACACACACACACTCTTAACTACTTACATGTTTGTGTTTGCTGTTGATGTCAGCCAGTCTGCTGCTAATCCAACCATATCCAGTCCAGTGGAAAGCTGATTGAAATATCTGGGATGCCCTGAATAAAATAGAATACTAGAATCAGGACTGCGTCCAGTGAAAAGAAATGCCTCTCAAACACGTGATTTCTCCAGCTAAAGAACCTTAAAGATCCTTCAGTGATAGGAAAATCCATATTCAGAAACCCAACATGTGCATGCGTGCAAACAGACACACCAAAAAGGAGCATTTCATCTAACAAGAGAGACTATTTTGGATTTTGGTATTTCTTAAAACACACTCTAAAAAACTTCCTTTAAACATTATCCTATAAAACAAAATAACAACTGTGGTTTGCAGTGTGGATCCTATATTATTTCCTAGCATCCTTTCATTACATTTGCAAACTAAAATGCGAGTGTAATCCAAAGCTAATCTTGCGTACACTCATGCCTCTAAAAATCCTTTTTTTGTTGTTGTTGAAGTTGTTCGGGGAATCAGTCAGTCATATCATGACATCCACCAGGCATGCCAACATTCATAATGACATCAGTGACAAATGACTGATGGTTGCAAAAGGCAAGGCATAAATGAGAAAATAGGACACTCTGTTGAGTGATTTTCCCTGGATTCAAAAGGTGATGATGCCTGAAGAGGGCACGGGCAAATCTAATTCTGGTCAATTCTTTTCTGTCCAAATATTTGATGACAAACAACAGAACTCCTTCATAGTTGTGATTTAAAATAATGCAGGATACAGTCAACATCACTGCCTTGTCAACAGGATACATGAAGATATACTCAATGGGCTGATGAGTCCCATTAGCAAGGCTTATCTAATTAACTTCTAGACTTCTCTAAAACTCTAAAGGAGTTGACATACAAATTCTCCTGAGGCCATTACTTAAAATGTGATTGTAAATATCTCATTAGAATTTCATTCCTTGTCTTGCCCTGTTAAAGCCTATCTCTAAATCTGTGATTTGCTTGGCAGCAAAAATTTTGGAAGATTGTCAATTATGGAAATAGCATCTGATAGAAAGGCGTCCACCACTTACTGGACACCTGTCTGAAGCCGGGGGGGGGGGTGGGGGGTGGATAGCGGTCTCTCAGGCCAGCATGGGCAAAACAAGATAAAGGAAGGCAATGGGGATAGCAAGGACAAAAGCCAACACAGAGCTTATCTCCAGGACTGGAGTGCTCTCTTATCAGCCTCAGGCATGTGGCTAGACAATTAGACACGGAGAAAAGATAGGAGCTGGGAAAGGGCACATTTCAAAGAGACTGGGATTTGTGTGGTTCTTGCTCATTCTCCGGCATTGTTTTTGCCTTCCTGTGGCTGTGCACAGTGCCCTTCTACCTTTTCCCCTCTTTACTACGCCCTCTGATGCTGGCCCTGTCAGTTTGTGCATCCACAGAAAGTGAGAAAGCCCCTTTGCTGCTGCCAAGGCCTGGGTCTGGAGCAGCCCTCCCCTGTCTCTGCCTCATTGACTCCCCATTTCATTAGAGCTCACAGCTGAAATCACAGCCGCTACTCCCTCCTGATGCCTCTTCATTTCTCTTTCCCTAAGCCATTTCTTTAGAGCGAGGAAATTAATAAAGATTAGCAAATCAATCCATTAATCTAGTCTCCCAATTCATATGCATTTTCTGGATGAATCTGGTGTCTATTATCACACACTATTTAACTCTCTGGAAACTCTGGCATGAAAACCTCTGCTATAAAAATTGCGAGAAATTTCAAGGTGTGTGTTGGGCTCCAGGATATCAAAAGGCCAATCCGCCCTGCTGACTGCCTTTGGAAAACTGTGAAACAAGTTTGAGGCTTCAGTGGCTTGACTCCCTTCTCTATTTTTTTTTTTTTAACCTTGGTCTCCCATTGCATCTGAATCTCTCCTACTTCAAAATTCTCATTCACTGGTAGGGATGTGAAAAAATGGAGGGAGATGGTGTGACATGTTAGAACCACATGTCCTCTTGATTTCTGCAGAAGTACGCAGCAGAAATATTCTATTTGCTCCCTTCCCGGGAACCCCCCCCCCCAAGTCCCCAGGATGCCAGCGAATCCAGGCAGGGCTCTCGGAGAGAAAGGGTGTGAGAGACCTGCCTTGGAGGCTGCCAGCTCCCTCATCCAGCCGAGCTGGGCATCCAGCCGCCGCCGCCGCCCCAACCGGGCCGGGAATGGGCGGCCAGGCGCAGCCCACAGCCGGGGAGCCAGCGAGGAGGAAAGGTGAGGTTAGAGCCGCTGGCGCCTCTGGACCGCTCCCCGCAGATTAACAGATGAGCTCGGAAGGATGCGCCCGCTCTTGAAACAACCAGCCCCGGGCAGCTCTGAGCCTCTAACTACAATGCCTGTCACAGGGATGGTAACTACTTTACAGACCCTAAGTAGTACTGGTTGTCAAATACCAGTTATAGCATAAAAACCTGTAAACTTGCCAGTAAAAAATAGGTGACTGGGGTTAATTCTTTGAAATGCTATCTGGGGGTGGAACAGGGAAGATCAGAAGACTATGTATGCTATGAATAATATTGATATTGATGCTGAGAAATCCAACTTAATCATATTTCCCCCTCGACTTTAAATGAAATGCATTAGAGCTACAATTGACAATTTCACAAGCATTATGGCAAAATTTAAGAACTGAATTGCCCCATCTTCTCTTAACACTAAACGAAGCATTGATAGAACTATGACTTTCATGGTCTTGCAATTCCTATGATCTTAACTCTTTAAATTACATGTCAGACATCACCAGCTTTTAAGGATGAAGACGTAAAACATTTTTATAGGTTCTTTTGGTTTGGTAGCATTAAAAATAATAGGTAGCAACCTACTAGGATCATATTTACGTATTAGGTTAGGGGAATGGGTCAAACGAAAATGAATTAAAAGCACTGTTCAGGTTTGCACCCACAGATACATCAAAAGCTGGGAGGAGGAATATCTTTAATGCCTAGTATATTCATCATGTGGATTCTCTGTGAACATAATTGAGAATGATAGCTAATAAGCCTTTAAAATTCATTTTCCACAGACCGGGTGTGATCAAAATCACCAAGGTAAATTCCTTTCCCTATGTTCCTAGTTCTAAATCTATAACCTCACAAAAGTGGATACTAATAATGCAGCAGATCGATTTCCCTAGGCTTCTCTGCATACTTTTCCTCTCTGTTGGTATAACGAATGCAAAAACAAAAGCAAAATGTAACTAAAAGTCATTCTTAAAATGCCTGTTGTTGATTAGAGTAATATGATAATTCATTAACCAAAAGATTTGAAACATAAAAGGATCAAGTTCTATGGTAATTGATATTCATGTGACATTTTTATTTCTAGTGGATCTTTTTTAAGGCTACAAATCAATTTAGGACCACAAGGTATTCTATTCCTCATGAAATTCATTCATACTTATTTTTAATGAGTACACACTTTAATGAAGTGTAGTGCCATCATGCATCAGCATGATTAGAGACAATGCAGGAAAAGAAGGAGTAATCATGACCTGGGGAGATAAATAGCTGACTTTGTGTGGATAAAATGAAAGCTTAGAATGTGCCCGAATAAACGTTACACCTGGGGCTGTAAAATGGATAGAGTATGAAGAATACTGTGAAATGTGAAAAACAAAAAGCAATAAATACAAAATATATTTTAAAAATAAGGGTATTTGATTCCCCTCCCCCACTGATTTCCTTTATTTTATATTCAGAATGGCTATGAAACACACACATCCATGTATAACACGGTTGAATTGTTAAGCTAGTTTGTATTGTGTTTTCTTTTGTGTACATTTCCTTAAAAATAGAGAAAACCTCTGGTTCAAATCTGAAGTCCCGGCTATTTGAGACAATGCCAAAATAGTATCCCTGGGTTGCAATGATTACATAGGATGGTTTGTCCAATGTCTGACCATTCCTAAGCCAAGGAAATGAACATAATTAGCACTACACTAGTATTTGGGCTTTTGTTTGGATCATGCCTTTTGAGCTTTCATTTCCATATTCCCTTTCTTTTTCCATTTTGGGTCACTTCTACTGGCCTCTGCTGACAAATAGTGGCTTCTACATCAGGGGTTAATCTCTGTGGCCAAATACGTGCGATGTAAAATCTGATGATTTATACTTAATACGGTTATAATGTTTCTGATATCATCAACTTAAGAAGCATGAACATTAACAGTAAAAGGTGCCTTTTCTTTATATCATTCTAATGACTTTTTTAATTGATGAAAATAACTTTGTAAATTTGAAAATACCAGTAACTCCATAGAACAGAAAACATTTTTATATAAAAAAATAAAAATTTTAAAAGGAAAAAGGAGCTTTATTATTTGTGACTGGACAATACCTGTTTTAATTGCATATTTTAGAGTCGTTTGGCAATGCATCAAAATTTCCTCCAAATTTTGTGGTTGGTCTGCCAATTCCCAGTTATACTCTTGAAGGAGCTCATTAGGGTAATGGAAATCAATCACTTTGGTTGATCTATCGAAACTTTTCACAACATACTGAAGCAAAATGTCCATAACATCTTGCAGAAACGCCAAAGTGGGCCTTTCTCCATCACAGGCTGGCAGCAGGTCTAAAGAATGGAATCAAAATGCCACATTTTAATTTTACTGTGAAAATATCCAGGCAAAATCTTGATTCGACAATTTCTCTTTGGACTGAGAGATTTTGTGCTAAAGAAAAAAAAATCTGGAAACGCAGAGCATTTTCTTTAAAGGGGAGATATTTTTCAAAGATGCAGGAAAAAGAGAAATTGTTTTTCCCCCACCCCAAATTAATTCTTGTATTTCAATCTATAACGTACTGTTTTCTTTCTTTCTTTCTTTCTTTCTTTCTTTCTTTCTTTCTTTCTTTCTTTCTTTCTTTCTTTCTTTCTTTCTTTCAGGAGTGTGCCTCCATTCAACTATTTCACAAGGATCTGTCCTAAATGTTATAACTCAGTAAATCATCTTAAATGATTATGGAAATACGTCACATCAGAAATGTTTGAGGAATGCCTTTGGGCAAATCGGGCAAAGTGGAGCATGCAATGTTAGGATCTCTGACCCATTACGGTGCTCGCTATTTCCTAAGTCAGTGTGTGTATGTGTGTGTGTGCGCGCGCGCGCACGCTCATTTAGGTGCCTGGGTGTGTAAAGACAAGAGAGTAAAACCGCGCGCAGGTCTCACGCGAATAGAATAGTGCCCGTGTGAAACTACAGCTACGAATTACCCTTGCGATCTAGAGCCCTAGGAAGTCTCAGCAATTCTGAACTGGAAACCGAGTCCCACCCGTTCAGTGGCCACCAGGAAGCCGACCTCGAGGTCCAGCGCGCGGGGACCTCCTCCATCCGCACCCGAGTCCCCTTGGAACGCCTGCGCCCAGCTCTACGCAGAGGCAGGGGTTGGGGCTCGGTCGGAAGGGATAGGCCCAGCATTTCTCGCTTTCAGCTGAAGCTTCACGTAAGGTCCGCCTGTCAGGCACCTGTCACGGAGTCCCTTTTGGTCCCGGTGGGTGGGGCAGAGCGAGGGACAGTGGCTCCCGGGGACCCCACGAGGCGCCTTTACCTGTTGCGTGTAGAAACGCATAGTTGACATCCGCTTTGGGGCAGCTGCAAGGCTTCTGATTACAAGCGCAGGCGGCCTTCCTGGAGGTGGCGCGCGGGGGCTCGCTCCCGCCACTCTCCGCCGGCTTCTCGGCATCTCCGTAGAGCAGGGCTAGGCAAGCATCACGAGAGCGCTGGTGAGCCGCCGCCGGTCCCGGCTCCCTCGCCCCTGCCCAACCCCGGCCAAGAAACCTCGACTCCGCTGTCGGGGATGCGGAGGTGAGAAGGTGACATTGCCCCCGCGGGACCCAGAGGCGACTGACCGGCCGTGTTCGACTCCCTCCCCGGCACGGGCAGGGCACTCACCGCACAGCTTGTTTCCGATGCCGCCCGTGAACTTCTGGGCCACCTGACACCAGGCTCTCGCTGCAAGGAAGACAGGTAGGAGGACAACGAGGCAGAAAGACAACAGCGGACGAAGTGGGAAATTTCGTTCTACGGGAACAACCGCAATAAACCCGGGGTACGGATAGGGGCCGCCCGGGGCTCCGCACCGAGGACAGGTGCAGGAGGGGCGCAGGAGCCTGGCGGTCCGGTCCAGCCTGACCTTACGCTCGCTCATTTGTTTCCGAGAGAAGCCTATACCCCAGCCCTTTGCATTTGCCTTCCAGGGGCCAAGAGGTTCAGACAAACTCCCCTTCCTGGCTTCCTCCAACGAGTCTTCCTAGATAACGAAGCTGTCCATTTTCCTTGCAGGCTCTCCTCCCTGACCAAGAGTTCTCTTTTCCCTTATGCCCCGTTTCCCCACAACCACTCTATCCCCCCACAGGGTCCAGGCACCAAGATGGAGGCAGCGCCCCAGGCCCACGGAATTCCGTGTGGAGGAGACGCCTCTGTGTCTGGAGGGCTCTCCCAGACTCACTGAAAAGGGTCTGAGATTCTTTGGGTGTCTTTCCAAGGGAGAAGGGCCTGTGGGGTTTTGGTCTCTTGGGCCATCAGGGACCTACAAGGATAGCAGAGCCCAGTGTCCGAAGTTTCCTGTTGCAGGTGGAAACAACTCCTTCGTCTTCCCTAGCACCCCAAACCCCGGTCCACCCGCCGAGCTCGCCTGCTGCAGGCCCCTGTTCCCCTACCTGTGCTGGGGTTCTCGGGATCCCCGGAGCCATCTTCAGACCCGAAGGACCAGAAGCCAGAGCCTGGAGATGCCATCAGCGCTGTGAGACCGGAGCGGGTCGCCTCCGAGTGCGAAGTGTCGGCGAGCTGCCCTCGGCTCGGCCCTGCGCGCGCGTGCGTGTGTGTAGGAGTGTGGCGGGAGGAGGGCACCGCGCGGGGACCCGCGTGGCCGTGCGGCAGAGGGTGGGTGTCACACAGGGACAGGAAACGTGCGTGAGTGCGTGTATGTGAGTGCGTGTGTGTGTGTTGGGGTTAGGGCTTAGAGACCGGGCAAAGAGGGAAGGAGACTGAAGGGTCCGCGCAACAGGAATATGCGAAGGCGCCGAACACCCGATTGCTATTGAAGGCGAAGGAGTCCAATCGGGATCGATGAGGGGGCGGCGGAGAGAAAAAAAAATGGGAGAGGGAAGATGCGAGGCAGACAGCGCGCACGAGCCGGAGTCAGAGTGGGTGGGTGGGAGGCGCGCAGGGGAGCCCCCGGGGAGCGCTCGCCGCGAGCCTGCGAGCGCTGTCCAGGGTGCTAACGCCGCGCACTGCGCGCGGGCTTCAGCGAGGGGTAGACCAGAGAGACCTTGGCGAGGCGGAGCGAGCGGCCGAAGCGAGTCTCACGCGGGCATCGATTGGCGTATTGTTTGAGGTCTGGCTCCTGCTGCGGGGAAGGAGGCGCGATTTCCGCGCAGCCTTCTTCCAAGGTGGTGCTGAGGTCGCTGTGACCTCGAGAGCCCCGGCGGCTGGGCTGGAATCACGAGCGGTTCGTGAGCCTGGGGAGGGGACGCTTGGAGGAAGGGCGCCTACGCACTGAAGGGCTCATTTCAGCTTCTTAGGAGAGCCTGACGCCTTCCCACTGAGCCCCGCGGTGCTCGGGAGCGCGTCATTCCTGCGCTTTGGGGAGCGCGGTCGCCGAACCCCCCCGTCCAGGATCTGCCTGACGGCCCGGAGGACTGCTGATGGAGGCAATTAAAATCCGTGCAGGAGCCTATCACCGAGAACCTCGGGCTGGGGGGGAAAAAAAATAAAACGAATGGAAACTTCTTGGAGGGGGGCGAGAGAGAGTCGCAGGCAGGCTGGATTGACGACTGGAGGGGGATGGGATCTGGTCATTCTGCGACCTTGGCCCGCGGAGGCGTGGAAGGGTTTGCTGCTTTCGAGTGACCTGAATCGATGTGTGTGTGGGAGGCGCGCACAGGGTTTCCAGCTAAGCAATCTGAGCTTTCCAAATTCAAGGCGGAAAGAAGGAAATGCCTGCTGGGCCCTCGAGTCAACGGGCCTCAAATCAATGACCTCCCCCCCCCCACCCCGGCCCCTCCGAGAATCATCACGGTAGCGGGGGTGGGTTGGGGTGGGGAGGTGGGTGGTGAGGTGGGGAGATTCACTATTTCTGAGGCCTGGTGGGAAGGGGTTTCTTCTTTCCTGAGAAAGTCCGAAATCTCTACTCTTTTACAACATCCTTTCGCTAGAAGCTGTTAAACAAAGGGAAGACGCCCCGAGATTCTGGGCCGCGTTGCTTTCCCTCGGTAGCAGAGATCGCCATCAAGCAGACCTCACGGCTCCTGGACTCTTAGAGGGAGGGCGATCGCTGGGTCCTGCCTCCCGGGCGTGCATTCCCTTGGGCGAGCGATTATCATTTCCACTCTGCCGTTCACGAGCCCTCATTTCTCTGACCTCCTGAATCAAGTCCCCAAAGCTGCTGCCAAAGCAGCGACTCACGGACACTCGGTCTTCGCTACCATCCCTCGATCCTCGCCTAGGAAGGGCTTCATGGTGCCTCGGTGGCCGCATGCAAGCCCAAGTCCTGTGTCTCCAGACACTCGCGGGCCTGGTTAATTCTCTCCACGAAGCTCTGTCTTCTTCTTACGCGTTGGACTGGGGGAGAGCAGTAGGATCTGAACAGTGGCCAGGGAGTGGTGTCTGGGAAGGGTGCTGGCCAGGTCCTGCCATAGGCTTGGTGCAAAGCCTTCTGTGTCGGGAAGCCTGCATCAGGCTGCCGGCGCTTGGTGGGCATGAAATGAGCCCAGGCCTCTGTTTCGCCACCTTTCTCAATGCTTTCGGCTTCAGTGGGCCCAAGTAACGATGCCTGGGTGTAAAGACTTCAGGGTTCGGTTGTCTGTGCGGGGCAGGGCAGCTCCGCAGCTCTTGCTCCACCAGGGCAGATGCGAGTCAGAGAGACTAGTTCTTTGTATCAATCATACCAAATCCTGGCAATGTTTTGCTTCAACCCATCAGGTTGGGGTTGCAGAACTTTTCTGCTATGGGTAAGTGGTTGAAGGCCTAAAGATTCTCACAAAGCCCCGAAGGAAGAAGCGGACTAACAAGGAAGATAGAAACGACAACACCTAGATATAACATAATTTTTTAACGCAATTTAAAATTCTACTGTTTGAACTCGATTAAATCCAGCAGCTCTGGAGTACTTTGAATGTAATGGTGGTATTTGCATTTTTTATTTAACACACCCTACTTCACAGCACTCAGGGATCTGATTTGTCTTTCCTTAACATGGTCCCTCCCTAGAAGGCAATTTGCTTTATAAAGACTTTGATTTCGCAAAGGAGCCTGTTCCCCCCCCCCCCCACACTCTCTGGCTTGGCGTTGGAGATAACAAAAGAGCTCAGGGAGGTAATAATTACAGTCATTAGTTCACAAAGGAGGCAGCCACCAAATGGGAAGGGGAGGCGGGCCAGCGCTCCGCGGAAAAGCTTTCTAAGCCTCTTCCTCAATAGAGGGAGAGAAACCCTTGCTCCTGGGGCTGCTCTCCCCGGCGGATTTCCTGGGTTGACCTATTTCTTGTCTATGGATTATCCAGAGATGGCATTGCAGGTCTCCCAAAGAAGAATGTTTGGCACAAGTTTTCCCCTGTGTCTTTCAGTGTTTAAATGTGTAAGGACAGAAAAGGAAGGGAGATGGAAAGGAAGAGAGAAAGAGAAAGGAGAGAAAACAAAGACAAAAGAAAAAAAGGAAATAAAAACACTGAAACCTTTTACCAAGTGTTTGCATTCCCTTTCCCAGTTCCTACTTAAAAAGGGGGTAGAGAGTTTACGGAGGAAGCATATTGCTTCCCAATCCAGCAACCGAAGGGCGGGGCCTCGGGGTCCACACAGGCCACTTTAGAAGCTTGGAGAAGGGGCCTGGCATGGAAGGGGAGCTTAGCTTTTTCCCCCCAGAGGGCCTCTTGGTGCTGGGTGGATGGGTGGGTTGGGCTGGGTGGGGGGAACTCCATTCACCTCGGGTTTTAGACTCTCTCTCTCCTCCTCGACAGTGCACAGGGCTCGCAGGTGGTGGGAGGGCTTCACTGGTGCCTGTGCTAGGCCCAGCCTGCAGCCTGTCACAAGTGAGCAGTTGGTCTCTAAGGCTGATCCCAAGCCGAGGCCACAAGGAGAAAACCCAGGGAAGGAGCAGGACCTACAATACACTTAAACTCTGAGCTCAGTCGTGCCACAGGAGGAGGTTTCCCCTGGAGCAGGTCTCATTGTAAAATGAAGAGGTTGTGCCGGTCCTCTCTGGGGGTACCTTTCAGAGTCAACATTTTGGGTTGGATTACAGATGGGTGAGTGGCACAACAAACATTCACCCATTCTCACTCAATTCTCCAAACTTTCCCCCAAATTTCGGCTCTGCGCCACAGCAGCAAGTACACCAGCAGGAGGAACAAGCCCCATCCCAAAACCCTTCCCCCAACTCGGTCGACCGTCAAATCCCTTCGCCATCCTTCCTGACGCTCTTCAGACCGCTTAGACGCAGAGAGTGTCCGTTCCAGATAGGCGCAACCCAGGTTTTAAAATAGGATGCAGTCAACTGAAGGAAGGCAAACCTCTGCCCGCCCATGGTCCTCCTCTTTCTCTTAAATACGGCCAAATTCAGAACCGGGGAGATTGCCTCAAATTTGCAGACAAGTAGAACCTAAAAACCCTGACAGTTTGCTCAGTGGTGGGGCTAACAGTGTGTGTGTGTGTGTGTGTGTGTCGGCAGGCAGGGGGTTGCAGTGGAGACTTGGGGATTTGTCGCTAGGCCATGTTGGGGCACAAGATCTGGGTTTTAACTTACATGGTATGTTTGTTTGGGAAGGCTGCAGGCTGGCGTTGTTCGCTGGTGGAGACGAGAGTCACTGTCACCCCCCTCCCTGGGCACCTGCACGGTTGGACAGCAGTCGTCCAGCCCTAACGGGGAATGTGGTGGCCCAGCCCCGAAAGCCACGGACTTTCCCAGGCACTTTCTTTATTTAATCACCTCAACAATCACGAGAAAGGAAAGCGCGAGTCTGAGATGAAGTTCACCTTCAAAGCTTCCCCCGGCCCCGGCTTCGTTTTACTTGCCCCTCCAGTGTCCCGCGGGCTTGGGAGAGCCGTTTCCAAGGGAAAAGAAATCGGTGACGTCTCCCAAAGTGAGAGAGGAGGGATCGGCGCGAGGTCGGGCGCATCCGATCCACAGGAGTTGCAAATGGGTGAGCAAAAGGATACACAGGGGGCCAGGGATGGGGTGCCCCAACTGGCGGGCCGGTGGGAGCGGACGGTGCGGTCGGAAGGGCTCCGTCTCCGGAGGCGCGAGCGCAGGGAGAGGCCCCTGCCACCGTCAAGGCCGCGGCTTCCGCGCCCGGGGACGCCAGCGCCCGAGAGGGTCTCCCGCCTCGGCCCCTGCAAGCCCCCCAGTCTCCCGCGCATCCCCCCGGCGGTGGCCCCGGGGACAGCCGGGCTACACCTGCTGCAGGAGGCGCTGCCGCTGGGAGGTTTTACGCAGGAGCCTCCTGTAGTCGTAGGGGTTCGCTGCGGGGTCATTTTCCTCGGGCTCCGGGTCCTCCTCCGCCCAGCACCTGCAGCGAGACCCGGGCCGCGGAGTTAGAGGCGCCAGCCGAGCAGCGCAGCCCCGCCCACCCGGAAAGCCGGCTCTATTCCCCCACCTCCCACCACCCGCAGGCATTTAGGAACCGCACTTTCAAAATAGCGGGTGCAGCTGCACAATTTTCTCAGCAGGTTTTCAACTGTCCCCGTGCCGGCGGGGGAATCTGGTGACTCTGTGTCAGATGACAGCCTAGTAAGGCGGCC